AAAATGATTATAGCGTTAGGCGTTCGCATAATATTATATTGATATTTTAATTTTAACATTTAATTTATTATGTTTTTAATTTACTTAATTACATACTGAATGTTTGCTTAATTAAACGCATTGTTCTAACATTGTTGTAAGTTGTTTATAAATTATACTAGGACCTAAACAATAAAACTATTTCACTCTGTATTAGATGTATTATGAAACAAACTGTTATTTTTCAATTTTTAACTTTCATTTTTAACTTATGTTAATTTATTTCTATTTAAATTACAAATTATAATTTCTTAGTATTCACAAACAAATAAATAATAAATTTTTTGGCTGTATTATCGGTGACTATAGGTCATAAATCTGGCAGAATCTTGTCTGCTTCCCACTATACATAACTTTTATTAAATGCAAATAAGCATGTCCATATTTGGAATCATTTTATGTTTCAAACACACCTGAATAATGTTCATAATTTAAATGCCTAATTCTGACACCCAACCAATTCCTGTTATTATTCACTGATAACTGTTTTAATCTTTCTCAACAGTCAGGCCTTTATTACAGAAATTATATTACAAGTAGTGTTTGAATTAGTTATCACTGAATATTATGTTTGCCAAAGCAGTCATTTCTAATGGGAAGTCATTAAACTCCTACTCGTAAACAGTTTAGTAATTGCAGGTAATGAAGGGTAATATGGAATTTGAATTATTATATTTGCTTATGAATAAAAATATTAAATTTTATCTTGTGAGAAAATCTTTTGCTAAATTTCTCATATATCTTAAATTATTTAAATAATACTATAATATAAAATATTAATGATCATCGTATATAAAATATGAAATTCTGCTCATAAAACCCTTGTTTCCAATGGTTTCTATTGATTATAACATTATTATTAACAATAATATTATTTTTGCTTTATTATGTATAAAATTATTGCACTATTTTTACACCTGAAAACTTGTTATAATTTAGTATTAATAAATCGTCTGTTTTCTGAAATATATTTATAAATGATTTATAATATATTAAAACAATGAATATAATTTAAGTTTAGTGTTGTTTAAATGCTAATACTGTATATTTGTTAAATAATTTAAAATATTAGCATAAATTAGTATATTTTTACATAAAAACTATTAGTTTACTGTAATTTCTAATTACAAAAATAATTATAATCACTTTAGGTTAGTTTATATATTAAGAAATAAATTATTAAGGCTTTAAATAACCTAAAAATTTGTGTTCAAAAAAGCTTGAAGTGATATTATTTTATTAAATGGAGTCAAACAATTCAAAGACTAACCAACACATTAATCAAAAATTACCAAGTAACTATTAAACTATATTTATTAATTTATTTTTAAATATTTATATTTTCATTTTATTCTTATATCTAGTTTCTACCGACACGTCAAAACACTTTAAACAAACATTTAAGAAATTAGCACTTATAGGGAGGGGTGGGTTCGGCGAAGTATATCGAGTGAAGCACATTCTTGATGGCAAAATGTATGCGGTCAAAATTGTTAAATTGAAAGGTAATTTATATATTCATTAACACTTATTTTAATTCGTTTAATTAAATATTTATAAAATATTATATAAACAATTTGTTATGTGCTTGAGTAATTTGTTTAGAAATGTTTGAATAATCTAATAGACTTAATACTACCCATAGAATTAGCATTGTCCATAGACTTGCAATACCTTTATGTTATCAATATGACATATACTTAAACTGTAATACTATAGTAACTTATAATAATAATAATAATAATAATAATAATGTTTATTTATTCATAACGCGTTGAATAATGTCTAATACAGCAAAATGTTTATAAAAAAGTACAATAAAATAGTATACAATTAGTTTGTCATTAAAAAAGTTTAAAATTACATATTTATCAAATAAAAATTTTGACATTTATTTAAGAATTTGTTAAAATTTATTTCATTTCTAATTTCTATCGGTAAATCATTGAACAATTTAATTGAATATATAAACAGGTTATTATCACAAAAATGATTCCGAGTATTAGGTTTTAATATTAAAATACCATTTCTATTATTCTGAGATAATTCGTACATTTTTTCCAATGCTTATGTTAAAGCATCTCATGTTGAACCTACAGAAACCTTCCCATTTTATAATATACATATAAGATTATTAAAGGATACCATATTATTCACCATAAGGTGGAAGAGGGGAGGAAGGGGCAGAACGATAATGTAATATATACACCACATATACCACTATAAGCCACATTTTTCATATTTGAATTGTGGTTAAAAATAATATTACATAAATAATTTTAAATAGAATTTTCAATTTTTCTTACATTTTTAAACGGTTGGGATGTTTGAGCGCATAAATTGTGATTAATTTTTAAAAACAAATATCATAAATTAATCTTCCAAAATCACACATTTTAGCTTATATTTTGACAATTAATTTATATACCCACTTAAATATAGTTCTATTGTCTGGACAGATATCCATCATTTCTCACATAAGAGTCACTCACAAAATTTCTGAGTTGTTATAAGAAAATAATTCGTATAACAAAAATTAATTTCAAACAAATTTTGAAAACTTTCACGTAATGAGTCATAATGATAATTACAATTTTATTTTAGACACATATAATGATCAGAAAAGACAAGAAATATTAGATGAGGTGAAAAAATTAGATAAATTACGTTCAAAATATGTGGTAATTTATCTAAATTCTTGGTTGGACAAAAATCGTTTATTCATTCAAATGGATTATTATAAACAAAATTTACAGACAATTATTAATAACAAACACGAAGTATTCGGAAGACAATCGGGAAATATATTGAATGTTTTTGAATATTATATTTCATGTGAAATATTGAAAGAACTTTTAGAATGCGTTCAATATCTACACGAATCTGACCCTCCGGTCATCCATCGGGACCTCAAACCGGAAAATATATTAATTTCAAAAAATAGTTATAATAATCGGTTTCTAAGACTTTGTGATTTCCGTTCCGCCACTTTTCAATCTGATGTCGAAAACGAACAATATATGGAACCCGAAGAATGCGAGTCTCGATATGTCATTCAGGATGACATCTATAATCTGGGAGTTATTGCAAACAATTTGTTTGATTTGGACGATATGTAAGAAATTAATATAAAAATTGATTTTAATTATAAACCATTTTTAAACAAAATTAATTTTAATATTTAATTAGTGAAAATCCAATGGAAAAATATAATTCATCCGTATTTTCAGCCAATTTTAATAAATTATATGCAATTATTGAACAAATGCTTCAATCAATGGCTGGAAAATTGCCAACCAGTCGTCGAGTACTAGAAGTCTACAACGAGTGGTCAGTCGATAGACATTTAATAGACATACAAAAGACAAACATAAAGATGTTCAATGAAACATTAGATATTTTAAAATATTATGGCAAAAACACATTTTTCAACGAATTTTTCAATATAAAATTAAATATTTTATTAAATAACAACTCACCCGAAAATTTAAACAGTAAAAATAACAACCAGGTAAATAAGTGCTAATATGTTATTTATTCTCTTATATATAAATTGAAAAATATTTTAATATTAAATTTTAATTAATTAATTAAATTGAATCTTAAGGATATTGTTGGATCACAAAATGCTACTACGATTAATAATATCACAAATAATACATATATTGACAATAACAAAAATGTGACCATTGACAATGGTGTAGTAAATCAGTCCACAAATATACACAGTCAGCAAAATTCTGACAAAACTTTAGATGAAAAGTCTGTCAAATTGACTAAAGATAATGACAAGCAATCGACGAGTCGGACACATATAAAGCATGGCTCAAAAAAGGAAGCAAAGGGTTTGAACCCAATTACAGACAAACCGGCAAACAATACAATAAGTTTATCATGTGGTTTGATATCACTTATCAAGTATATTGGCAGAAGTAATAGTAATATTGACATTAATCGTATTAAATTGTTTCACGTTTTTGATGACAGCATTGGGTTTAATGCATTATTTGTGACAAACAATGATATGGTTTACGGCATGGGATCTAATGAATGGGGAAGACTTGGTTTGGGACACAATAGGGCTGTCAATACACCACAAGTTATACCAGAATTATGTAATAAAAATATACGACAATTTATTTGTGGTTATGATTTTGTTTTATCCATTAATGACAAAAACTGTATACACGGTTGGGGCCGTAATAACTGGTCACAGTTAGCCCGATCACCGACTTATGATAACTACAAACCAGTCGTCATTTCATTGCCCAATAATCCTAATATTTGTAGTATTAGTTGTGATTATCACTCACTTGTGGTCACCGGAGATAACAGTGTTTTCGGATGGGGTTATAATAAAGACGGACAGTTGGGTTGTGGGGAACAGCACTCAACACACATAAGTACTCCAATAAAAATTACAATTCAATATAAAATACGTGGTGTTTATTGTTGGAGATACTCCTGTTTGCAGTCACATGTAATGGTCGTGTATTCAGTTGGGGTCGAAATGACTGCCATTTAGGACACAATATAACGGATAATATATTCAAACCACAAATTATTGATAATTTGTTTAACATTCAAACCATGTGTCCAACTGGTCGTCAAACATATTTCCTTACAAACGATGGATTTGTGTATTTTTGTGGACAAATTATTAGCGATAATAACGTCGAATCAACAAATAAATCAGTGGTTAAATTATTTAACAATGAAAATGTAATCATGCGCGATTTATATGCACTCTATTCATATAAATTTAAGACATTTCGTGTAATCTGTAAATCGAGTGATAATCAAATATATGAAATTAAATCTTCGCTAAAATTGTGTGAAACTGATTACACGAATGCTTTTGATTTTTATTTTAGTGAAATGCAAATGACTTATAAAATAATACATTTATGCGATCATAGTAATAATTTTAATTACGAAACGTTTGAAAAGTTTAAAGACAAATGTATACAGTATTTTATTCAAATGATCAGAAATGTAAAACTTATTAAATAAAATAAGATCATTAACAAAATATGTAATAAATACATTCTATGTAAATTATTATTTATATTAATAAATTTAATATTTAATAATTAATATTTAATAGATAGATAATATTTAATAATCCAAATTAGATGTATTACGATTTTTTCATAAAAACACTAAACTTAATTGCACAAATGCAACTGGTTGTCATTTACTATTTACATGGTCTATTTTAACAATCAGTGTTCATAATTATATAAAATTTGTTATACACACATTGTTATTTTTAATTTTTTAAATTCTTTAAATACGAAATAATTGATACATAAAATTATATCATTTATTAAATACAAGATATTAAATAAATAAACTTGATATTTTAATAATTATTGATTTATAAATTTAAAATCATTTTTATTCATTAGATGTTTATTATCTGTTTCCCTGAAGCAATAATCTTTTTACAAAAACAATTTATTATTACATATTATATAAAAGTTTTGTCTGAAAATAATATCATTGTTTCCAATGGTTTCCACATTACATTTATTTGTTTCAAAATTTCTTGTATTTTAACGACTAAATTCATAGAATAGATATTAATATTATAACTGTATTTCCTATTTATTTTTAGGTTTTAACACACATTAAGTGAGTGTTCGTTTCAATTGTAAATAATTTATGAGACAATAAAACTATAGTTATTATCATTTTATTTTCAGTTAAATCTCTCTTTCCATTGCTTTAACTGATTATTAAAAGTGTTAACTAAAAGGTTTAGTCTTATTAACGACACAATTATTTTTGTATTTTTTAAATAAGTGTTTAATAAAAAAGCGCTCCATTCAGACAATTAAAAGTATAATTAATTAAAAATGTTAATATATTGTATAATAAATCTGATAGTAAATGTATAATGTTCATATTTAAAGTTTAAAAAGTTTCATAAAGTCTATAATTATTACCACACCTTAATTTACAATTAAAAAACTAATAATAATAGTATCAGAAAATGGCCGCATACATCCCATCAACAGGTAATAAAAAAAATATGTTTTATCTTATATTTTAACATTTATATAATATTACATTTTTAAACAATTTGTTTAGTTTCTAACCAGAAGTCAAACTTGTTTGACGATAATTTTGAAAAGTTGTTACATATAGGGAGGGGTGGGTTCGGAGAAGTGTATCACGTGAAACATAAAATCGAGGGCGAGGTGTATGCGGTTAAAATAGTAAAGTTCCTTGGTAATTACATATTGCATTATTTTATAACGCTAAAAAATTTATAACAATCATATGTTATGTTAACTAAAATTGACATAAATTACAGACACTTATGACGAACACAAACGACAAAATATTCTAAAAGAGGTCCAAAACTTAGTTAAATTGCGTTCAGATTTTGTGGTCAATTACCGCAACTCATGGTTAGAACACAATCTTCTTTACATTCAAATGGATTTGTATTCACAAAATCTACAGACGATTATCGATAACAAGTGCACTGTATTTGGGAGACAACCGGAAGAGCCAATGAAAATCTACGAGTATTTCATTTCTTGCGAAATACTTAAAGAACTGTTAGAATGTGTGAAGTATTTACACGACTCGTGTCCACCGGTTATCCATCGAGACCTCAAACCGACAAATGTTTTGATTTCACAAAATAACAGTAATAAACGATTTATAAAACTTTGTGATTTCGGTTCCGCCACTTTCCACGACATGACATCTATGAGCCACACCTCTAATATAGGTTCTGCACAATATATGGCACCCGAAGTATATCAGTCCAGATATACTATTAAAGTTGACATCTATAGCCTGGGAGTGATTGCATTTCATTTGTTTGATTTATTCAATATGTATGTCAATAGAAATAATTTAAATTGTAATGTATATTTATGAACATCTTATTAGAGAAAATCCAACAGAAAAATACAATTCAACCGCATTTTCAGTCAATTTCAACAAATTATACGAAATTATTGGTCAAATGTCTCATTCAGTTGTATTTAATCGGCCGACAAGTGGTCGAGTTCTCGACAACTATAACCAGTGGTCAGTCGGCAGACAAATTATCACTGAAAATGACAGGGAATTGAATCAAACATTAAATGCACTTAAGGCTAATTCAAATTCATTTTTCAATGAATTCTTAATTGGTAAACTAAAAACTAGCCATGTTCCCACTGCTAACTTAAGTAACAGTTCGAGTGAACCTCTGATTCCAGTCAATAAAAACATGGTAAGCAATATTTAACATATTAATTAGTAGTGTAATAAGTTAATGTTTTATTTATTGTTAAAGGTTATATTAATGTTAATGTTAAATGAATAAAATGTATTAATTAAATTTTATTATTTATTAACTAAGCCGAAACCGACAGAAACAGTTGGCCCAACTAATTCTGGTCAAGCGATTAATGTTAATATAACTAATAATGAAAAGCTTCATATTAATGATGTGATCAATCAGTCAACGACACACTATCACAACAAATAATGATAATAATGATCAAGTTTGTAGTGGAAAGTATTTATATCGCATCAAACGATATAAAGTTGATGATAGAAATTATAATACCGTTAAGCGATCACATCGATTAGTGTCAATAGTTTATAGATTTATTTAACTCTAATAATTTCAATATTACTGTACACTATATTATTATATAGATGACACATATTTCATAATAGCGCACAGATGAGATAATGTTTTAATTTAATATAGGTCGTGTTTTAGCTTTATAACATACAATGTTATCTGATATCTGTTATATAATGATGTTACATAAATTACAAGACAGATGTGCCCCAAATTTTGTCCCTGGCTTATCCATGCTTTATATATTTTAAATTTAGTATATTTTATTTAATTATTAAAGAGGTAGATTTATTATTTTTATTAAATATAGTAAAAATCATTTAATTCATTATGTTTTCAATCTATTTATAAATGATCTGTAAAAGTGTCACAACAATCATAAAGGTTTATTTTAAACTCTTATATAAAGCTTTACAGTAATAAAGTGAAAACATTTATATTATATTTTATATTCTTTAGAATATTAAATAAATTATATGATTTTAAGTTAATTTATAGTTATTTTTATTATGTATATAAAGGTAATCACAATTTAAAATAAAAACTTTTATTTTTATTTAACAATATGAAACTTTATTTAAATTTTGGCACAAATAGTGCGAAACACACAAATCGTGTGTTTTTGATGTAGGTTTACATTTGTGTGGATTGTATTGACTGACTATAAGTGTTGTAAGTTTAGACTAGTGCTCCAAATGTTAGCTAAAACTCATTTCTGTCCCGTCCCGATCCTGTACTAAATGTCAAAATATTTTCCTGTCCCGTCCCGTCCTGTCCTGTAATTTCCTGATAATCCTGTCATTAATAAAATACAAAATCATGTTTGTTTTTTGGCAACATTTTGTTGAGATTCACTCATATTTAAATATTATTTATTAAACTAAATTACAAATAATAATTAAAAAGTATACTTATAATATCACATATAATATTATACTTAAACACGTGTTTATTTAACAATGACTTAAAATGAGATTTTTGTAAAGCATTAAATCAGACAATATTACAGCTTAAATGCAATGACAGTTATTTATTAAAAATCATTTCATAGTTTAAAACCAATGCTCTCTATGAATGAAAAATGTTACAACATATTTTTTTGCATTTTTCTGTCATAATCCCATTCCTGTCCTGTCCTGTCCTGAAGCTATCCATTCCTGTCCCGTCCCATTCCTGTAAGCATAGGTAAAATCTTTTCATGTGTTGTCCCAATCCTCTACAGGAATGGGACGGGACAGGAATTTACAGGATTCACGACACATTTTTGAGAGACTAGTTTAGACTTAAATAGGGGACAATTGGGGTCACGTTTACCCACATTAGAGTCCACTGTATGAGTGGGTACAGTAAATGTAGGCATTGTCGGCAGTGTTTGTGTAAGAAAAGGGTTACAATTAATTAATTTATGCGTAAAATTCTAGTGAATTGTGATTTAATTTATAATTCTAGTAATAGTAAAAATAAAATTCTTGGTATATTTTATTTATACTTTACATGTATTTTATTAAAAAACATTTTTTTTTCAAATAATAAGTTGTTATCACATATTCTATGAAATTAATTGCCATAATATCTGTGTTTCCAATGGTTTTCACTGATTATTACAATTAAATGTATTATTTAACGACAAAACTATTTTGACATTAAATTATGTAATAAAATATTTATTATTACATTTAAGGGCAATTGTAATAATTAATTGTTTTCTAAATTTTTAATAAATAACATATTCTTTTAAATAACATGTTAATTAAATACATGCTTTAATACTTAACATAATTGTTATAAATAAGTTAAAATATTTAACAAAGGATCTACAGTATAGTATATAATGATTAAAAACAAGGATCACACGCGATGCTATACGTTAACCACAATTCGGGAAATGCATCAAAATTTTCAATTTTCAATACTATTGTGAGAATACTCTCACTATTGTGATTTTGAGAATTTTAAATGTTTTTGACAACAATTAGTTCTATGTATTATGTCAGATTCGTTTAGTATATCTACATAGAAAAAGCATTATCCCATTGAAATAACATTATTCCCATAGACTTAGCACTACCCATGTTATCCCTACGCCATAGACTTAGCATTACCCATGTTATCCCTATGCCATAGACTTAGCATTG